TATCTATCTATCTATGAGAAGAAGCAAAATGTCAGAGGGAAAACTGGATTTCATATAACAGCAGGTGGGTGCTGTGAGCTGACTTAGGCTATCTACATTGAAGGAGATCTAGGTATCCCTGCCTGAAGTAGCAGATTTTGTGGGGATTGTAGAGTGACTCCTGGAAAGCGGGAATGTGTCACTCATGATGGTTTTTTTATGGAACACAGAGACACACCATTAGACATTGTTTACCCAGCCCAAACCCTTCTTGTTAGGACCAGCACTTCAATTTGGGGGAACAGAAACTTTAGACATAACATCTGCCTGCTGAGTCTCTCATTCCACTGTTGACACAAAACCCACAAGTCTCATCCTAAAGGGAATAAGATCCTTGATTCTGGAGCCATTTTGTGTGACAATGATGAGAGAAAACATATTTCCATTACCTGAACTCTATGTTCTAATGTGGAAGCAGTTTCACAAAAACTTTATTATAGCTTTACAAAAGAAAGAAAGTCACAAATCAAGGCAAGTTTATAGGGCCCAGGTGGATAACTGACAGAGGCAGCTGCATCAACATAGGGGAAGCTTCTCTCTAGGCTCAAGATGTCATCTGCTGCTATGTTTAACTCTTGGATTGCAGCTACCTGTCTTTTAATAGATTCTATTGTCACAGGCATCAGTTATACACATGGAGGCAATATATGTGTGTCCAATAGAGACAGAACTTAGCACACAATAAGGTAATGGGCCTCGGTTGGACCGCCAAGGCTCCAGTCTCTCTACTGAACTGAAATTCTCATCAGTCAGTCAGTCAGTCTCTGCAGATACAGACTCCTTCCAGATTTCCTGCACTGCCAGACATAGACATCTTATCTTCAGAAATCTGTGGAGAGCACACCTCTACTTAGAATGTGCCCATTCCTGGCAGAAAGAATGGTGATATAGATGCAGGCAAAGATCTGTCAACATTGAGACATGTGGTTATTAATCTGTGGTTTTCCATAAAGAAGCCAAGGAGCAGGGACATAGAGTTGTGTTCTTTCAGAAGTGACTTGCGAAGCTCAGAACAAAGGTCAGATGCAGCTCTTCTTGGTCAGAAGTGAGTCAGGGCTGGTGCTCTGTCTTTTTTGTCTTGACTACTCACCTGACTCATACTGACCTTTGAACTATTACAGAAACAGAAGCCACAATGAGGACATCCAGTGTTGTGTAGAAGACTGTTAGGAGTTTTCACACATGGAGCTGGTTCTGCAACATACAGCCTGTAAGTCCCTGTCACCATAAATCACCCTATCTGTCCACTGCCAATCCTAGCACAGAACACAGTTTGTCTGTGCCAGCATTTCCTTAGAGGAGGGAGGAGTCCCTAGATAAAAATGGGCATCGGTGTGCATGAGTTAAAAACAAGCCAGGAAGGCAGAAAACCTGCACATCAGAACTCACCTAACAGATACGGGCAGCTGGCTTTGACTCTGCAGGTAAGGTCTGTGAAACCTTCTTTTTGTTGAGAAAGGAAAGAGCCATCCCAGGACTGTGTAGTACTGGCTATGACCTGGAGTTTTAGCTTGGGGGCAGTGAGAACTTGCTCTTTGGTCAGCGGGTATGAATCACAGTGTGTGACAGTCTCCTCTCTTGTATGGGTCTTTGTGACTTTGGAAGTTGCAGGTGCAGTGGGCTATACTCGTGGAAAGTGAATGAAGCATGCTCCTTCTGAACCTCCACAGGGGGAATGTTTGTGAGACCATGCCTAGCTCAGGTGCTGATGTAGGAGCCAGGACGGGACAGGACTGTGACAGAGTCTGTCTGGGGTAGGCGGCATCATTGCCATGCTCACATCAGACAGGAGATGCCTTGGGGTCAGGAACCACAATTTCCTGGTAAATCCATGGAGAAGAATGGCTACATTCTCTTCTAGAAAGAAATGAAGACAACAGCTCAGCCAGGTCCAGCTCGAGTGTGTTCTTTGGTTGGTGGGTCAGACTCTGAAGCCCTAAGGGTCCAGGCTAGTTGACTCTGTTGGTCTTCTGTGGGGTTCCTTTCCCAATTGGGGCCAGCAATCCTCATCCTATTCTTCTATAATTGTTCTGAGTTTGGTCTTCTTGTGGGTCCCCTAACAACTGGAGCACAGGCTATCCCAAAAACTTGTGCCTACAAATACTTAAATATTATTAGCATTTGGCCTTTTGAAAATGAAGCATGTCATCCATGGCTCTAAGAAGATGAAATATTTTACACTACAAAATGTGCAGTGTCAGTCTATTGTCAAGCGTCTCTTTCAAAGGAGCTCTTCTTATGATTCTCAAACAGTCATTAAGGAGACAGACATCTGTGATCTCCTCAATATTTGAAAATGTATGCATATTCATCTGACATTTAAAATGTATGTTTCATTTCTACCAAATGGATTGCTTATTTTGAGTTAGAATTCTATAAATTGTATTTATTTGATTTGCAATATGTCAATCAAGAGCAGCAGGGAATAGAGAAAATTTTAGGTCAGAAAAAAAAAGATTGTGATAAGTGAAATTGATTTCTAGAAAATGTTGAACACTATCTACTGTAAATGAAGAGATGAAAGCAAATATTATAGTGGGAAGGAACTGAACTGAGAAATAATCTCATTGATCTGTAGTTTTTTGGAATTGTCGACTAGAAAATCAATGCTGTGAGCACACTGTGCTGTAGATTTTCCAAATGGATGGTTTCTAAGATGGCCAACTATAAGTTATAAGTTATAAGTTATAAGTTATAAGTTATAAGTTATAAAACCAATTAGCCCGCACTATTTTTTCTGGCTATAATGTTACTTTCATATACACAATCACTCCAATACAAGCTCAAAGCCTGGCAGACAAATCATGAAATATATGGTACCAGGGTTAGAGATGCATTCAGAGAAATATATTAACGGTTGTCATAGAGCTAGGGCATATTTTCATTGTATTAATTTATGAATTTACCAAGTAGTAATCAAGTCACAGATAGTGGCTCTTCCCTGACCAGCTTGCAAGTATGACGGGTCAGATGAACAAGAGATGAATCTCTCCACTGAGAGAAAGAGTCAGTACACACATACTTGGAAAGCACAGACAAATCCTGCAACTGTATCTCATGTTGTCCCAGTTTTAGGTGGTTGGTATAAGGGAAAATAATAGCAAGCAAGGTTTAACATTCCTGCCATAAATATCAGCACAAAGCTTGGCATATCCCAATGAATCCGTGACACTTGTCAAATTGAAACCTTATTTGGATTGGTTACCATACTACTCTACCTGACCATGTCTAGACCATGAAAACACAGAACGTTTTCCATAAAATTACATATACATAAGTTATAGGCAATTTGAAAATCTTCGGTAGAGCTTTCACAGAGTGTGGATGGCATACCGTGGATACACTGGCAGTAATATAAAATTTATGAATGATGATTTTCATTTAATTCATAGAAAGTTGGTTTAGTTAAGTGTTCATGAGCAGCTGTTTTGCTTTGCATGTACTGGATCAAAGCATCATAGTTATATAAAATGAATACTAAATATAAAAACAGAAAAATCCCCAAACTAACAAACAAAAAAAGCATGGCCAAATGCTTTCCCAAAGAAATGGTTGCATCAGTCTGATAGAGATGAAGGTGGCTGAAGCCCCGGGCTCCTCTGCAGAGATGTCACTGCCCTGGGGACATGAGGCAAAGCTCCAACACCTCCCTCCCCTGCTCTCCATCCTCCTACACTCTCCCAGGCTCCTCTCCCTCCATCTTCCCCTTGACTCCCTCATCCTGTTCCCTCCTCCCCTCCTATCGCCCCGCCCCCTCTTCCTTGCACTTCCTCACTCCTCCTTCCCCTATACCCCATCTTGTCCCCCTCTCTTCCCTATTCTTCCTCTTTTTTCATTCCTTTCTCATCTACTTTCCAATCTGAACTCCCCTACAGTAAGGATGAAGTCTACAGCTGGACGGCCATGTTTACGCAATCACAGGATTCAAATGTGGTCCCCAATGCAGGGGAGTATGGACAAGTTGGTCCTCTGGACATTCTCCACCTCCACTCCCACCCCTGTGATGAGCCAGATACTTTTGCCAGTTATGTCACTGGGCCACAAAACAGGCTGCTCAGTGTGGTCTAGAGATTTGCTTGCCACAACACAGCCACCCTGACAGCTGAATTGAAATCTGGTACAGGTATCAGAGACACAAACAGCATTTCTTTTTTGTTCTGTCAGGAGGTCTTCCAAGCCTGAGGCCATGTGGTACCCTGACAGGGTTGAAAGGACCTCTACTATTGGTCCTTCTAATAGCTATTCTCAGTGGTGACAGGGCTTTGGCACTGAGATGTCTCCAGTGTTTCTCTCAGTCTCTGTACTCCCAGAAACACGCATTAGAATCAGTGCTACCAAATCATCCAAGGTTCCTTCCTTTAGTCTGGACTATAGTTTATTGATAGGAGATTGCACAAGAATAGATTTTTCTGCCTTTTAATGGGGCCTTATGAGAATCTAGAAAGGGAGAAGAAATTACACATGGTCTGTGCCCAGCTCCAGGTTTTTCTCTTCCTTCATCTGTGAGGTTGGAATGACTCTTTACCTTTCTGGATACTGGTTCTCTTAAATAGAAAAATTGACTTCTTCAACCTCACTTCCTCTATGGTAGAAGGGAGCTCATGATGTAGTACTGCCATCTGAGTGTCCAGAGCACCTCCCGTGGGCAGTCCCAGAGGCAGGAAGGGCAGCACAGCATGATACAATGTTCCCCAAGTGGGAGAACTAGGAGATGGTCAGAGCACCAGCTGGTCCTCTCAGACTCAAAGGATGTTTTCCTTTCAGCCTGAAGAACACAGAAGATGGCCATCATTGCAGCTCTGGGAATCTTGATGGTCGGGATCTGCCCTGCTGTCCTCTGCTGCTCAGATGACGCACTGGGAAGGCACATTGCAGTCCAGAAAGACCAAGACACTCTAAAACAATTGGACAGTCTAACACTGGCCTCCACCAACACTGACTTTGCCCTCAGCCTCTATAACAGGCTGGTTTTGCAGAATCCACGTGAAAATATTGTCTTCTCCCCACTTGGCATCACAACTGCCTTGAACTCCTTGGCTCTGGGAGCAAAGGGCAACACCCGGCAAGAGATTCTAGAAGGTCTCAAGTTCAATCTCACAGAGACCCCCGAGGCAGACATCCACCAGAGTTTTGGGCACCTCCTACAGCAGCTCAGTCAGCCAGAGGACCAGGTTCAGATCATTGCAGGCAATGCCCTCTTTGTTGAAAAACACCTGCAGATCCTGACAGAGTTCAAGGAGAAGGTGAGGGCTCTGTACCAGACTGAGGTCTTCACAGCCAACTTCCAGCAGCCTCATGAGACCAAAAAGTTCATCAATGACTATGTGAAGAAGCATACCCAGGGGAAGCTCAAGGAACTGGCCTCAGACCTGGATGAGAGCACATCCATGGTGGTAGTGAACGATCTCCTCTTTATAGGTGAGAGTGGTCACTGGTTGGCAAAGAGAGGGGGGAAGGATGTTGCCTGGGAACCTGTGTCCTTACACTGACACCTGGAAAGGATGTGCTCAGGATCTCAGAGGCGTGTGTTTCTAACTGCTTATTACACAAAGCCCTTACTTCTCCTCTGAGACATTTTAGATATTGATGTAATTTCTGGGATATGCCAAACAGAAGCACTAAGCTATCAATCCAAGAGGACTGATCTGGGCTGTGACTTAATCTTACTGACTGGCAGAATGCCATGTCTTCCACTGCCAGCCCTCCTGAGTAGGCAGAAACCATGGCTACTCTCTATACAAATGACGTCCTTCAATTCAGTCTGACTAGAGTAAGCATTTCTAGTATGCTACTATTTGAGGTATCCATCCCTCTGGATAGTCTAGGTCTCCATCAGGGGCCCAGTGGGCTGGGACTTCTTGACCCAAAAGATCCTAGGAACACTAATCTTAAGGGGGGAAGTATCATAACCTAAAACTTGTGAAGAGCCATGGAGGGCAGTTCCTACATAGGACTTCTCCCCTGAGCCTATAGTGTGTAATGAGCTGGGCTTGGGCTTGGAGAAGCTGGGACTGGGAGAAGTCATGAGAAAAGGGAAATGTCCATTAGGCAGTGTCCTATGTTAATGTCTGGCTGCTTCTTGGAATTTTAGTTCTATAAAATTAATATATGAAAGATCAGAATTCCCAAAACACATGCCTAGGGCAGGGAATCTTTTGGGACTTGGGTCCATGATAGTTGGAGACTCAACTGGAGACACTATGGTTAAGGTTAGTTGGGGAAAATCCAGGGATCCCACACCCACCACTCCCTGCCTGATAGGGACCAGAGAGTAAGGTGACAGCTCAGATATTGTTGCCTGACAGTCATGATGTAACTAGATATTGGCTGGATTTGGGGCTAATTAAAGTTAGTCCAGGATACAGGGAGGGCAGGCCTGGACTATAGGCAGAAAATCAAGGTGACAATGGACAGGAATATAGGAGAGGAGGTCAGAGGAGGAAGGACAAGAGGACAGGAGGACAGAGCTGCTGAGGACAGGGGATGTTGGAAGCAGAGTAACAGCCTGAAGGGTTAGACTGCAAGATTTGGCTCTCTCAGCTCTGCACAGCCATAAGCTCAAGTGCTGCTTAGTGCTAGATGGGATGTATGTTTAGGCTGAGAGATGCCAAGAGTAAGAAACTGTTTCATCATCAAGTCCCAGAGTGTACACTGCTTTTGGGGACAGAAATTATAAATCTGGAATAAGCTTGAGCTGATATCTCTGATTGTCAGGGTGGCCATTTCCCATGCATGAGATGAGGACTCATTACCCGTGTCTTAGCCACAATGTATGAGATTACGAACTGATCAAGATATGGGAGAACTCAGGCTGTGCTGTTCTGTTTCCCATAAATCCTGTCCCACAAGCCATCACCTTCTAGACATGACTCCCTTGAGGAAGACAGGACCCTCAACTCTCCCCAGGCTCCAGTCTCACCACCTTCACTCTGGTCTCTCTTACACACTCCAGCCCAGGTCCCTGACTGTCAGGAGCTCAAGTAGCCAGTCTGTGATTTGAGATTCCTTTCTAAACCAAAATTTGGATCCTCATTGCGACCATTTTGTCTACCTACCAAGATTTTTCCAGCTCATCACATGTTACCCTGAGGGACCCTCTGAGTGACTGAAGATGGATGGGTGGCCATGGCAACTCAGAAGCTGAGCATAGATGGAGAGGAGGTGGCGTGTTTCTGTTGCTATGACAATATGATTATTTGCTTCATCTTTAGGCAAATGGAAGGTGCCATTTGACCCTGATGACACATTCATGGGAAAATTCATGTTGGACAGGAAGAGGACTGTGACGGTGCCCATGATGAAAATTGAGAACCTGAAGACACCATACTTCCGGGATGAGAAGCTGAAATGCACGGTGGTGGAGCTGAGTTACATAGGCAATGCCAAGGCCATGTTCATCCTCCCTGACCAGGGCAGGATGCGGCAGGTGGAAGCCAGCTTACAATCAGCAACTCTGAAGAAGTGGAGGAAATCACTGAAGAATAGGTGCATATCCAGGACCCGGAACTGGCCTGGACCCCATGTACTGACGTTGTCCTGATGGCCAGTGTCCCTGTACCTCAGATTCTCACTTAGATCCAGTGTAATGGCTGAAGTGTCAGCAGGGGACAGGTGAAGATGAGTTGAATTCCCCTCCTCTGTCTCAGTTGTTTGAGGCCTGGTTTTACCCTGGTTTTTGTAGTTGACAAAATGAGATCAGCTTGAACCTGGAGCGGAGGTTTCTTGTGTCTCTGATGGGCTATAAATGACAAGGCATCTTGAATGTGTCTTTGGAAGGCAGAGGGATTGTGACTGACAGGAGATGAGCTCTGAGACTCAGCTGTGTCCTTCGTAGCTGTCTCTTCCCCTTATCAGCCATTCATTCACCATTCATGCAGTGGTGACTTGAAGACCTACTATGTGCCATGCTCTGACTTAGACTCTGAGAGAGTGTCAGTCATGAATGGACAAAAATTCGCATCCTGATGAGCTATCTTGTAATTGAGGAAGAGACAGTAGGGGGATGACAATAGAACTACTCATTATTTAAGCTAAGGGCCAGGTTGAATGTAGTGGTGAAGTTGAGAAGGACAACCAATGGTAAGGAAAGCTTGAATCTGATGCTGAGTCCGGTTGTAAATGGAAGAGTCACTGGGTGATGTCTGAGAGCCGGCAGGACAGGGAAGGGCTACGTTTTATGGATTTAGGAGGAAAGCACTCTCAGTCAAGGAACAGTTAGTATCAAGCCAGGTTGCCTGTCCACTGCAAATACTCTCAGGCTGTGATGAACAATTAATACATTAGGAAGAGGAAAATCACATGGTCTAGGCATGGGTAGAAAGAAGGCTTCTCTTCAGAGAGAGGGCTGCTATAGAATGCTTCCACTCAGACATAAGTTTCGTTGATTGGGCACAGGTTCCAGCGGCTCTTCCATTTCTCTTTTATTCTCAGGATGATAGATGAGTTCTACCTGCCCAAGTTCTTCTTATCCCAACAATACAACCTAGAAGACATCCTTCCAGGACTGGGTATCAGGGAAGTCTTCTCTGCACAGGCTGACCTGTCTGGGATCACTGGAGCCAACAACATAACAGTCTCTGAGGTAAGACAAGGAACATGGGTCACCCACTTTGGGTCCTGAATGTAGACAGTGAAGGCCATGTGGGCATGTGAGGATGTTCAATGTGTGAGAAAACCTACACGCCTGAGATCCCTCATGCCTGGGAGAGTGAAACCATAGCCCAGAGAGTCCTTCTCAGAGTGTGCAGCCAGTTGCTCTTCACCCTCAGGAATTGAACACATCTAGATGTCAATGGTAGGGAAAGTGCCTGTGCTTGGTTTTAGCCCACATAGGTCCTAACCTGTGCTGTACTGCGGGGCTTCCCACAATCCACTGCGGGGCCTGCCACAATCCACTGCACAGCCACCTGCAATCCTCTGTGCAGCCACCCACACTCCACTGCACAGCCACCCACAATCCACTGCACAGCCACCCACAATCCACTGCACAGCCTCAACTTCTTTGATGCAGGACTCAGCCATTACTACTTAACTGGCACACCAAATAGTAGCCGTAAAGGTCATAACAAGGGATCAATGGCAGTTTTGATAAAAAAATAAATAAAAATAAAAACAAAAACAAAAAAAAACCTCCCTGAGAATAAGAGAGAAGATGCCCTTAGACCCTCATACCACATTCTCAGCTGCACAGCCTGTTGGTGCCTAGTGTTCTGTCCAGAGCCCACTCAGAGCTCTGGGCTGAGATCTGTACCACCAGGACATGATAGTCTCGTAATGTGAAACCATGCCCTATACAATGCTGGTGTATATCACAAGGAGGTGGGACCAGGAGAGACACTGAAACCTGTAGATATGATTTAATCCCCGCCTAGGTGTCTACCCACCTTAACTATTTAGTTCCTGAATGAAAGACACACACAACCTTTATATTTACAATAAGTCTTAAACAGCACACTAGCTGTGCAGTAGCCTAGCCTCTATGTGATTCGAATCTACTTTCCTATCCATACTCAGAATTATTACTTACTATGTTGCGTCTTGGGTTCTCAATTTCCCAGCCAACACTGTATTGGTAGAGTTTAGCAGTTGACCATCCTGCATCCATTTGTCTTTTTTCTTTCTTCTTTTTTGTTGTTGTTTTTTTTGTTTGTTTGTTTTTTGTTTTTCGAGACAGGATTTCTCTGTGTAGCCCTGGCTGTCCTGGAACTCACTCTGTAGACCAGGCTGGCCTCGAACTCAGAAATCCACCTGCCTCTGCCTCCCAAGTGCTGGGATTAAAGGTGTGTGCGCCATCACTGCCCGGCCATTTGTCCCTTTTCAACAGCAGTATGTCTACCAAAAATATTAGGGCCTTTCTTGCCCAATGGTTAGCTTCCCTCAATTGAAGCAACTCCACGTGGGAGTACTGATGCTCAGTACCTTCCTGGAAGGAGAACGAGGCTATTATCAGGAACAGTCATGTCTTGTAGTCAAAAGATATTTTAATAATGAAATATCATCTAATGCCATATTCTGAGAATCTCCAATGCTTTTGAAGGCCGTCTATCCATATATAGCATAACCGAATTATTAAACATTGTTTTTTGCTGTTTACTATTTAAATAACCTTGAAAACATTTTATTGTAATTACCTAAATTAGACTCTAATATGACCATGATTTTGACTATCTGACTCTTAACTTGCATTACTTAGTTATTTTAAACAGTTTGTAATAGCAACTATTTAAAGGACTGCAAATAAACCTTGTAGTTTTAAATGAGTTGCATAGGCACAATTCCTAAGAGTACCAAAATTAGTTTAAAATATTGTATCAATAAACAAGATTTATACCAATGAAAAGCTTAAACCGCTCTCAATATACAAATTCTGTACCAATGTAAGAAAATATAACTTCAATTCTGCCCCAAAATATAAAGATTTCTAGCAATGTAAGATTTTGGCTATAAAATGCTTTGTTTAAGAGTAATTTAATAATCCATCCCTATTTGTCTAATTTCTTATAATATTACAATATCCCCCATTTATCTTTTCAATCTCCTTTCCTTTACCTAAGAAAGAAGGATAAAGAAGAGGAAAGACAGAAATTCCTGAGCCTATGCTCTCTGTTTAAATTCTTCCCTGTCTAAAACTACAATTACTTGTAAATTATCCCTTAAAATGACAACATATCTATACTTCATGAAATGACCAATCCACACGCCCCAACTTAAGAGGTTGGGAAGACCATCTTTTTATATCAGCCTCCTACTGAGTCAGGGCAAAGAATTCCTAACTCAAAAGGAAACTGAAAGGATGGTTAAGTCAAAATAAAGCTAGCTGGCGTTATTTGTTGTTCAGTCTTTATGCGTTGAGAAAGTTCAGAACTTAACTAGAGTCCTGACAAAAAGCATCTGAAAGACTGGATGAGCTATGGTCATCGGGGATACGCAGCCCTTTCTGAAGCTGTTTTTGAAGCAAGTCTCTGGAAACAGCATCAGGTGAGGCAGGCTCAGGCAGGAAGCTGCAACAGAAGGTCGTTTCGGCATCCCCGAGGGTGAATCTCATCAGACTTGCCTTCTTAGTATTTCATTCTGTAATGTATGAACCTTACAACCAATATTTAGTTCTATAAAGACATTTGTATGGAATGTGCAAGGGGCACAGATCAGTTAAGGATGAAATTTTGCTCATTGTTTGAGCAGATGAAAGAAAACGATCCCTTTATGAGTTAGTTTAATTAATAACCAAGTTGTAATAATGCCATATGCCATGTGAAGGGATTAGTAAATCATGTCACCTGTTCTGTTTGGTCTTCTTGTTTTTTGCTACCTGTCTGCAGCCAAGATCTTTAGGGATTCTTCCTCTTTCAAATCTTATCCCTATTACTTTGCAAGGAGTCCAAAGCCTTTTTATTCTTTCCTTTTAATACAAATACTGAGTCTCTGCTTGGTCCAGCAACCTGAAGTCATCAAAAGTATAGCTTGATTCAATTTAGCAGACTCTTTTTTTATTTAAGCCTGTTCTACTTGACCTCTTTCACAGAAGATTTATAATATCATTATAACCACCGAACTTATAACCTTCATTTTGATAATTAAAATAATTTAAAACAATGATTATTATTTAGTAAGATAGGATTTCTTTCTATCTATGCCCATGCCTTTGTCTCCTAAACATCAAGATGAAAGGCCTGGATTTATTCATTCATCAATTTCAATTAATTTTCCCTTCTTTCCTTAAAACATGTATATCAATTTTTATCTCTCCCTTCTTTGGGGATTAATATCTCCATGGATAAATGTACTGACATTTCTCTTTATAGAAATTGAATTAATATACTTTCCCATATTTTGCTTCAGTTAAATTACATTCTACTTACTGTATAAGCCTGTTTTCAGGCCAACATATGTGTCATATGCTAGGCTAAGCAGTCCCAGTTTTCCCATGGATCTCACGTTCAAAGAAACCAGAAGCTTCTGATAGCATTGATATCTTACATTTCAGTTCATTCTCTATACCTTTTTCTTTTTTCTTTTTTTTGTTTTTGTTTTTGTTTGTAGGAGGCATGAAGCCTTGCTCCCTGCCTTCTCACCAGCCTGCTTCATTGCAAAGTGGGGGCTTCTAGCGTCTTAGAGGCCCCTTAGAAGCACTTGAGAAGACACCAGGCTGGAGTCTGAACCTACCACCCAGCATGCTGTCTGAATCTGCCTGGTGGCACAGCTGTGTCCAGGCTTATGCCATGAATCCCAGAATTGCGTGCACTAATTTAGCATATATATTGTTCTTGTCCCAAACCTGTGCTGCTTGGGAAAGGAGCCACTTGACTCTACTATGAAACTAATTCCCTCTGCCTCCTAATCTTAAAGGGATGGTATGTGTTTTCCATTGGAGAATCACAAATTAATTTTAAGTGAGGTTTTGCCAGACGTTGAGGCACCAATATGTTGTAGAAATTTTTGAATCCTGGCTGGAGGTTCCACTCTGCCTTAGCTGTATTAGTTTCCAAATGAAAGACACATGCAACCTTTATATTTACAATAAGCCTTTAAAAAAAAAACTGCAAAGCTGGGCAGCAGCCTAACCTCTGTGTTATTAGAACCTACTTTCCTAACGATACCCCAAGTTATTACTTATTCTGTTGCATCTGGGCTGTTCTTAACCCCAATTGGACAGCCCTCAGTGCCACATTCTCTTGATTCTGAACCCATAGTGGCTTCTCCTTCCTCCTCCTGCATGTCTTCCTCCTTGTGGTTCTCCTTGGACACTAAGCCCTTCAAACCTAAGCCCCATCCATGTGCATTTTGCCCAGCTATTGGCTGTTGGCATCTTTATTTACCCACCAGACATAACTTGGGGACAGGCTCACTTAGTCTACAAGTAGACTCTTTTCTTTGGAAGAACCAGGTCCTTGGGGACCTGCACCTAGCATTACAATGAATAGCAAAACTCAACAGAAACCTGCACTGTCTGCCAGCTCACTGGCTGTTCCCTGTGGGACTGTTGGAAGGCTGTCTGTGGGGAAATGCCTGCCATTGCTTACTCCTGTCCTGTTGTAGTGGTTTGAGGGCAGCACAGATTCAGACACTGAGTGGACCCAGGGCGTGCCTCATCTCACACCCTGAGCAGAGTCTTGGGAACACCAGGGTAAGAGCTCATGGAAGGAGCAAAGAAATTCACCAGCAGATGAGGTCTGTGGTCAATGCTTCCTCCAGGTCTCTTCCTGCCCTTCCTGGTCTTCAGTAAGTGATGTGTTTCTCTCCCTACAGATAATCCACAATGCTTTGCTGGAGATGACTGAGACAGGCACAGAAGTAGATGCTTCCACAAGAGTCGAATATGAGTTCCTGTCTGCAAAAACTAAACCTATAAGTGTTAACATGAACAGGAAATTCCTATACATTGTTTTAGATTCAAGTTCCTCACTTATCTCTGTTATGGGCAAGGTTAACAACCCTTTAGAAAACTAGGAGTTTTCTAAAGTGCTGGGGCTTCTTTCTGAGTTAACAGAGTGAGTCTCTATGTGCTTTTTGGCTTCCATCCTCTGATAGGCTGTGGCATTTTTGTAATTAAACAGTGACCTTGATTGACTTTAGTGGTCACACATCACAGGAGCATGTGGAGGATCTGTGTCCAGGCCTCTTCGCAACATTAGCTCATATTCCTGAGCCTGGACTCTGTCTTTCTTCTCCTCCCTTGTTTACTCCCCTTTGTCTGCCTCTACCAAAAGCCTGGGCCCAGCAGGTAGACCCATTCCCCAGATAGTCTCTGATCATGTCTGCCTTCCATTTCTGCAGCCTTGGTGGAACTGTGCAAGGTTACAGGCCCACCCATATAGACAACAGGCAAAGCACAAGTCGGGAACTTTCTGCCCCTTCTATTTGTAGCATCTGGAATAGGTCGTACCCAGTTTCTGCCTCACTCTTTCCCTACTACAGTCTGTACCACCCACTGCCTCTTGCAGGGTCTCCTGACACTATCCACACAGTTGGAACCCCCATTCCTGCAACTGCATGGGGCCTGTGGCTCACACTAGCTCCTCTCCCCTTAGCACTCCTAATCAGATCAGAGTGGTAGCCTTTTTCTCAGTTCCCAGCTGGCCAATCTCACAGAACAGGTGAAAGCCTCCACCTTCATTACCAAAACTGAAAGGCCAGGAGCAAAGAATCAATAAATGTATACCTGCACAGAAAGTGTCCAGGCAGTGTTCACTCGGCTCCCTTTATGAATGAGGAAACTGACAAACACAGAAGCTTCGTCTTTTCCCCATGACAGACACTATGGTTTCCAAGTTCCCTGATGCCATAGGGACAAACCTCACCAAGCGGGTATCATCGGATCATGGGGCATCACAGATGTGGTTGGAAGGTGGAGGATAAAACAAGACTCTGGATGCTTCACAGAGAGCGCTCAAAGAGATCTTGGAGCAGGAGGGGAGTTATGTGCTGAGCTTAAAGGAGGAGGAGGAAGAGGAGGAGGAGGAGGAAGAGGAGGAGGAGGAAGAGGAGGAGGGAGAGGAAGAGGAGAAGGAGGAAAAGGAGAAGGAGGAAAAGGAGAAGGAGGAGGAGGAGGGAGAGGAGGAGGGAGAGGAGGAGGAGGAGGGAGAGAAGGAGGGAGAGGAGGAGGAAGGGGAGGAGGAGGAAGAGGAAGAGGAAGAGGAGGAGGAGGAAGGGGAGGAGGAGGAAGAGGAAGAGGAGGAGGAGGAAGGGGAGGAGGAGGAAGAGGAGGAGGAAGAGAGGAAGAGGAGGAGAAGGAGGAGGAGGAGGAGGAGG